AAAGAGCTGCTGGTGATTAAACAGGTCATCTTCATCTCAATGGTCTACGTCGTCAGCAACACGCCCAAGATATTCATCTTCATGGCCGTGACATTCGTGCCTGAATTAACTCAAGGCGGGCAATACCAAAACCTGTAAGACGTCATGGTCAAGGGGAAAGAACACTTTGAGATCTACGCATCAGTCTTTAACATTTTTATCTATTACAAGTACAACCTTAAATTCAAGGAATATTTCAAATATTAAACCAGAAATGTTTTAAATACACATAATTACTTTTTTGTTTTAAATTGTTACACCATGTTTGATTTCAATTTATGAGTCGTTGTCAAGGACTGGTAGGTGATCTATTTTTACAAAGATAGACAACACATAAAGAAATATAGATTTCATTAGAGAAGAAAAACAAAAACAATGTGAAATGTTGTCTTTAAGTTTATACTGAGCTTTTATATAATATTTTGTTTGATTACTTTGTGTGTTTCTATGAATGTTAATGGTATCGAAATATACAGAGCCACATTTGCTAAAGTCCCATGATAATATGCACAATGTCCATAAGTGAATGTAACAGAAATATACTTGTTTAATCAGTCACAATACATTTTTTGAGTTTTCATTTATTATATGTCCTATTAATATGCTAGAGGGATCTTTGATAGTTTCCAGTGAGGTTGGACACAGAAAGAATTTTATAGGGAGTGCGCTCTTTTGAAGCTATTGCGCCAAATTTGTTGAGCAGTTTGCTTTAGTCTTTAAGGGACAATGAAAATAGTAAAAAGTTAATTAAGAACCACTTAAAGACTGTTTTCTGTGAATAGATTTTAGGACGTCAGAGAGCTGTGAGCATGCTAGAATAGCAAGGACACAGCTGTTATAAAAGTAATCAATCATCATCTTCTAGTATTTTAACTTGTTGGCAATAATGAACATAGTTTTTTTTAAAGTTAAAATGTGAGATTTTTTTTTCTAAACATCAACCGAAACCATAGACCCTACAGTCGCAAATCCACCACTGTGCCGACAGGTAGAAAACCATCACAGTTCCTAAAGGAAGACGACCTCCACAGTCCTTATAGGAACAAGGCCACATCTTGTTACACTAACCAAGTCCCTACCCTTATGTGAGTAGGTGTCTTATCTTAGGCTTTATACTCCTTCTTTCATTGCTCCACAACCCATCCGTGTTTGACCTATGGGTTGGATCTTCATGGATGTATACGATTGACCAGGTGTGATGAGAAACATAATACAATAATGTAGGGGCATGGTCAGTCCCCAGGATAATGAAAATGCCAATTCTCTGTCTATAACTTCAATGGCATAAACAGTGGAGATATGGAGCATGGAACTTCTGGAAGTGACAGACCGCCGTGTTGAGACATGGGGCATGGAACTTCTCGAAGTGACAGACCGCCGTGTTGAGACATGGGGCATGGAGCTTCTGGAAGTAACAGACAACCGTGTGGAGACATGGGGCATGGAGCTTCTGGAAGCGACAGACCGCCGTGTTGAGACATGGGGCATGGAGCTTCTGGAAGTGACAGACCGCCGTGTTGAGACATGGGGCATTGAGCTTCTGGAAGTGACAGACCGCCGTGTTGAGACATGGGGCATGGAGCTTCTGGAAGTGCCAGACCGCCGTGTTGATACATGGGGCATGGAGCTTCTGGAAGTGACAGACAACCGTGTGGAGACATGGCGCATGTAGCTTCTTGAAGTGACAGACAACCGTGTGGAGACATGGCGCATGGAGCTTCTGGGAGTGACAGACCGCGGTGTGGAGACATGGGGCATGGAGCTTCTGGAAGTGACAGACCGCGGTGTGGAGACATGGCGCATGGAGCTTCTGGAAGTGACAGACCGCGGTGTTGATACATGGGGCATGGAGCTTCTGGAAGTGACAGACAGCCGTGTGGAGACATGGCGCATGGAGCTTCTGGAAGTGACAGACCGCCGTGTGGAGACATGAAGCATGGAGCTTCTGGAAGTGACAAACCGCCGTGTGGAGACATGGGGCATGGAGCTTCTGGATTTGACAGACCGCCGTGTTGAGACATGGAGCATGGAGCTTCTGGACGTGACAGACCGCCGTGTTGAGACATGGAGCATGGAACTTCTGGAAGTGACAAACCGCCGTGTTGAGACATGGGGCATGGAGCTTCTGGAAGTTACAGACCGCTGTGTGGAGACATGGGGCATCGAGCTTCTGGAAGTGACAGACCGCCGTGTGGAGACATGGGGCATGGAGCTTCTGAATCTGAATGGGAAGGAAAGCCAAATACAAAACCAGAAACGCCGTTGTGATCAAGTCCCTGCAAGAGCAAGACTGCTCCAGAGCCGGGAGGAACAAGACCATCCCTGATCCCGACAGGAATAAAACATCTCCAGTCATGACAGGAATATGACTGCTCTAGTTGCGTCAAAAACGTCCCATTCAGTCCAGACAAGGGCAAAACCTCTCCAGTCCCGACAAGAACAAGACCTCTCCAGTCCCGACGAGAAGAAGACGGCCCTAGTGTCGACAGGAGCTAGAACAGTTTCGGCCCAGTGGGGAGTTCAAACTTTAGGTGACCTGATAACAAGCCAATGTGGCCAATTTTAGTCAAACTAAGAAAAGATTGCACAATTCCTGAATACAAATGTAAACATTCCAACAGATTATATCTGGATGTCAGCACCACTTCTTGCGTAGATGGGACTGCGTCCAGCTTAACAATAAAAGATTGTTTGAAAAATCAACTTGGTGGCTTAAGAAAAAATCTGGTTCTGAATGAACGTCCATCTGGTGAGAGTCCGTCTCCATCACAATACCATTTAAATGAAAATATATACACGAGGCTTAACAAATATGTACCAGAAGAATGCTACTAAATTGATGTATAGGTGTTGGATCTTGAATTTTAATCCTCCAATGCTCCCCCCCCCCCACATATCTGACATTATTAAATTTTTATTAAATTTATTGTAGGTAAAAAAAAATAATAAAAACCCAAAAAAATATATGAAAAAAGCTCTAAAAATAAAAACGGCACATCATGTTGGGGCCTGTCTACCATCTTCACAACGAACGCATACTGCAAGCTCGTTAATTTTTTTTTTGGTACTAAATAGCCACTTCATTATAACTATAGAACCAAAACAACAACAAAGTTAAACTAAAGTCAAACATTAAAAACAATTTCAGTATCCCAAGAGTCTAAATTGTCCGCACTTTTTCATTTAGTACGCTTTTAATTTATATTTTGAAAAAATTCTTGAACGCATTCGGCAGATCGTAACGGTTTCAAATTCCCGATTAATGTGTTGTGATTAGACTTAGCAAACTTGATTTCACAACCTCTACATTTTTTAGGGGAAAACATATTTCAACAATCAATGATGATATTAGTGATGGATGTGTCATAAATTTTTTTTTTTTTTTTAAATGCCCAACTGTCTCTGAAAATCTTCAAAGAAACTAACTTAATGAAACATTTGCATTGTTAGATTTTATTTTTGTGTTCAATTTAAATGATGTGACTTCTTTATAATTTTACATTTCTTTGTTTTGTGCAGCGAACATTGCCTGTCCACAAACTGGACAGTAAGCATTTGATATATTCATCAAGTCAACATGTGAAATAATAACATCAGCTTCGCTACTTTGATTTTAAACGTGTTAACTTTCTTCTGCCACCTTAAATCAGTTTTACGTAAGTAGGTAATTCCGATGTGGAAATGCGCATCACTACACGGCTACCGTCACTTAACAACATTACAAGAATTACATGTAATCATCTTAAGCTAGCACACTTTGTCACAGTAAACCTCATGACAGATGCCAATCAAGCATGGTTTTAAAAAAAATATATATAATCTATCTTGAAACTGATTTGTCGAATTATTCTTATCATTTATTTTCACCCCATTAACATAACAACATTCTAACGTGAAAAAAAAAACAAAAAAATTATTTTCACTCAATCTATTTTAAATTTTCTTTGTTTTTACATGAGCGTGTGATATCTCGATTTTTTAAAAACTAAACCTCTTAGTTTCCTGATCGCCAAATAACATTTAGAATCTGCCATAGTACGCAAATATATTACAGGTTTTTTGGGAGTCAATCGATCACACACAAAAAAAGACTTCTTTTAAAAAAGACATAGCGAGATCTGGGTGATGACTGGTAGCGAGTAGTAATTAACGTACCAACTGAGCTACTTGTATCGCGGATCCAGGGTTCACAAACTGCATACAAAGTGTAAGACAAAGCTTCAGAGTGTTAGAGTAATCATTGGGTTTTTATTTTCTATTGATGACGCTAAACAAATTCGCTAAACTGGAATGTTGTAAAAGAAATTTTTTTTTTTGTACCGTAAAGAAATTAATTATTTCATGAAATCAGAGACACAATTTATTCCGTTCTTTTAAAAAAATAACTTCTGTATGTTGTAAATTTAAGGAAAAAAAATAATTTAACCCTTTTCACAGAGTTAATGAATAAAACTTTTAATGAGCAATATAATTGTTCGTTAGTTTTCTTGCTATACATCATAGAACTGTTTCTTTAAAGACAAAAAAAAAAATCTAAATAAAAGAAACACTAAAAAAATTTAAATTTAAAAAATTGACACGAAAAGGACTGAAAAATAGAAACATATTAATTTAGATTTAGCATTTCCCTGGTTATTAACGATACTGATTTAATAATTATAAATTATAATCATTATACGTGTAAAAAGTAATTATAACAATTTTAACTATTTTAGAAAATTTGTTCCAAGAGTTGTGACATCGAAAGTTAAATTAAATGAGTCAATGCCATTAGATTGATCGCTCTGTCTTAGACTCGTGCAAAATCAATCCCGGTAACAAACAAACTAATCCTTTCTTTCAACACCTGAAGGTCGTCAAAAAATTGAAACAGCTTTATATAAGAGTTCAATGTTTTTATATGTTTACAATGAATAGATGGAACTATACGCAGCCAGATGGATTATTACCAGAACAACCGGTTTAAATTATCGCTAGCGGCAAGTTCCTTCAACATGATCAAGAACTGGCGCATAAATTGCGGCGCTCTACATCATCACGGATGCTAAAAAGGAAGAGGATCAATGTTGTTAATTGTATACCTTTTTAATGGTTCTTTAAAAAAAGCGACGGAGACACCGAAGTGGTCACTCTCCATTGACTTGTCTTGCGGATAAACGACGTTATTGACATTGAAAACAAAGGCATCACCTCGTTCAATAGTAAGCCAGTCGAGATGACAATAAAGCGAACCACGCATTTTGCAGACGTCATGTCCTGGAACAACCAGAGCCTGGATACGGTCAGCGCCGCCATTGAATCCTCTCCCGTCAACCCGCTCATCACGCAACATCAGTTCACCATTTTGATCGGCATGTACACCTGCCTGGACATGATCCTGTCCGTCATGGGCGTCGTCACCAACACCGTCAACATCAAGACGTTCGTCGCCATGGGCGCGGACGACGGCGTCACCGTGGCGTTCCTGTTTCTGTCGTCCGCCGAACTGGTGTGCTGCCTGGCCGCGCTGGGCCAAAAAATCTCCATGGCATTCTGGGTGACGGAGATGGCGACGGATTACAGAACGTGGTTCGACGTCAGTCCGTACGCGCTGAATTCGTTCTTCGGTAACATCAGAGGAGGACTCTTCTCGATACCGGTCTTCATCACCACGTACCTGGCCGTGGCCAAGTGCATGTGTGTCGTGCAGCCTTTGGCCTTCAGGAACATGTTCTCGGTGTCAAGGACGGTGAGGGTCATGACGGGGTTATGCATTTTCGGCGTTGTTTCTCACATCCCGGTCATGGCCACCATCGGCATCGCTGAGACGTTCGATAAAAAGGTGAATGCTACGCGTCGCGTCATGTGGTACTCTCCTTACCGAGACATCGTGAAGACCGTGATCTGGAACGCCAAGGACACGTTCCCGGCGTTGGCGACACAGGTAATTATCATCATCTGTGTCGTCGTCATGGTGAAGGAGCTGACCGAAGCTGTTAACAATCGGGAAAAGTTAAAGTCGGGAAGTTTCTACGAAGACCCGGACGACGGACTTAAAAAGTCAAAAACGGGTAACAGACAGTTCAGTAGACTCACGGGGAAGGAACTGCAGGTCATCAAGCAGGTCACGCTCATCTCAGTCGTCTACATTGTGGCCAACACGCCCAAGATTATCATCTTCCTGGCGTTCGCATTAACACCGGAAATGACGCAGGGCGGGACCTATCAGAACATGTATGACGTTACGATACGCGGCAAAGACAACTCTGAACTGTACATGTCGGTAGCCAATATTTTCATCTACTACAAGTACAACTCAAAGTTCAAGCAATACTGCACACTAAAATGGTAGCCCCGGAATGAGCTGCAGTGACCTAAGGAGATGACATCTTAACGATACGTTTAAGGAAACATTGAAATATTTGGAGTTCAAAAAAAGTTATTTATAGATGTAATTGTTTGAGCCCAATCATGCCTTAGCTTTTCCGTGTACAAACCAAATTATTTTTTGTTTTTTATCTGTTGTTATGTGTTTATGATTTTAAGTCACACAATGTTAAATTCTATTGGTTTTCTGGTATTTCCTAACAAAGAATGTGCCGACAACATTGAAATATTTGGTGTAAAAAAATAAAAATATTTTCAGAAGTAATTTTTGTATCTCAATCATGCTTTTGCCTATTTATTTTTGTTTTTTATCTGTTGTTATTAGTTCTTAAGTCACACAATGTTTAATTCTATTGGTTTTCTGGTATTTCCTAACAAAGACTGTATACATACAACATAAAGGGCAGGGGCTGGATGTGCAAATACTAACTCATGAACTGCTTTTTGAATAAAAGTTCACCGACTGTTAATTTTGTTCAGCCTGAAATGTATACTTGAATAAATTGTGATAAAACATTAATTTGCTAACAATAAGTTAAAGTACAGTTGTTGTTAGTTCCCGTCATGCCTTCAAATACTTCTTCTGAACTGCCCCTACGCTCACCTGAAACCTTAACCGATTAAATTTAAGATTATGACGTGATAATTGTATTCGATGAAGTTAAAATGAATATTGATTAAGTCTTTTCTTGATCAACAACAACAAACTTACAACTGCTCTACCCTCCAACTTTACTCACTCTCTCTCTCTCTCTCTCTCTCTGCTCTGACTGTTTTCGTACCACCAAGTGTCTTCTATAACTGTCCGACTTAGTTCTTTCCCCAAACTGTCATTTATTACTCTCCAACTAAGTTCTCTCCTCCAACTCTCCTCTACTACTCTCCGACTGAGTTCTCTTTTCCCCAAATGTCCTCTACAACTCCGTGACTGCGTTCTCTCCCCAACTGTATTTTACTACTCTCCGCTGAGTTCTCTTTCCCCCGAATCTCCTCTACTACTCTCAGACCAGGTTCTTTACTCCAGCTCTCCTCCACGACTCTCGGACTGGTTTCTCTCCCCAACTGACCTCTACTACTCTCAGACTGAGTTCTACAGCTGGTTCCCATTAATGGTCCCTCTTCAGAAGTCATCGAATAAGTCTTCACGTCTCTAGTGATTCACTACCAGGATTATCTTTTTTTTATGAACACTGTGCTGCTAATTGATTGGTCACCCTGTTACTATAATGAACCGTTAAGTTTCCAACCGCCTCAGAGAATATTTCTCTTCAAGTAGCTATTCTTAATTGAATTGCTACTGTCCATACCAACTGATTACTTATTTTATATGTATAATTAAAAACCTGTTAAATAAATTACTTGGATAATTTTTTGAATTAGATAAATCTATTCTATTCCACAGAATCGGTGACAAAATGTGATTTAATTTCACTGCTTGAAACTTGATATTTAAAACTGTATCTGTATTTGAACTGTATTATCATAAAGAAAGTGTACTGGTTTAAAATTATGAAATCACAAATTACTACGGAAAAGAAACGAGACATTTTTGAACAGAAAATAAATAATATAAAGAAATGACTTATGTCAAAAAATTTGATAAAGAAATAAATTATTTAAAGGAATAAATTATATAAAGAATTAAATTATTTAAAGTAAATAATAACATAAACAAATAAATTATATAAAGAATAATTCAAAATAAGAAAGAGTAACTGTAAAATAAATTGGCTGGAAAATTGAATAAATTATATGTATGAGCTATGCTGACCGTAACGCCAAAGAACCGATAGTATTTGGATACCATCGATTTCTTAAAAACAATTATATTTATTTTCCATTATATTACGGAAATCTGATAAATTTAAATGCGCAAAAACATATTACATATCCGATCTAATTTTAGTAAAAGTTTGACTATTATTATTATAAATGTCAAGTACCTTAAAAAATAAAAACTATGGAACTATTTTATGCATTTTATTAGAATGTAAACGTTATGAAAAAACTATTATATTTAAAATTATGATCTCAGAATTGCATTGTAACCATATTTATCAAGAAAACCCAACCATCTGTTATTTTTAGTGCATTGTTAATATTTCTAAATAAAAATAAAATTAATTTGATTTAAATAAATAGGCAAATGTCGTCATAGCATGAATTGTCTATTTTAGCCAAAGCTCAAAGTTTCTTTTATTTAATAACCGTGCGTAACCAAAAAGGGTATGTAAAATTAATAAATATAATTGATTGCTTTTTAAATTGCTAAAATTTTCTAAAATGAAATACTACTTTAGCTTTGTATTTTTAAACATTCAATACATTTGTACTTTTTATTCATTAAAAAATATACTCTTAGGGATTCTAAAAAGTAGTAAAAACGTAACCTTTAAATATAACTTAAATAAGAAATGCCGTTTGATTCAATCGGTGCAGCGAACCACAGAACCAAATCACATTCACTAAGGCATTTATCACTCATTCAAATAAGAACAAAGCATAATGAAATGCAGGAAAAAAAATGTTTTTGAGAAAGTAAGGGGGTTACAAACACGTGAATGATTTTATTAATTTTTTAAAAAGTCTTTGGATTAAAAATTTTCAGAGACCCTTAGGCAGTCCCCACGTTGGGCCTGTCAAAGATATGAGAATCACTGTTGTTATGTGTAGAGCATTGTTATCATGTTTGATAGGGAAAAGATGTTTAGTTAGAGATTTTACGTGTAGCTGTATCGTTTGTGTGAGAGTGTTGTGACGTAATCGTGTAAGGGGATATGACGCGTTAGTTTTCGTTGTTGTGATGGAAGATTGATGGCGGATATAACATTTTGACTGTTGGACTTGTGTTGTTGTGTGTTGGGCTGAACCGATTGGATTAGTAATCTGCAATTATATCACAACCCTAGTTAAGGAATTGTTCTTAAATAAATTCATCAATTGCAACAAACCGTAAAGTTTTTGTTGAATTAGAAACTGTTGCTCTTGTTTATACTGTTCGTGTGATCATGTGAGAGACTTGGCCAGATAAGTAGACACTCATTGCCATGAGTGGATAATTGCAACTCAATAGATTCAACGTTTCGACAGGGCCCACCTCGAAAAATTATATCTCAAACTTAATGTCATATGAAAAGTTGCGTAGCTAGCGTTCTACCATCCGGAGGTGGATCCAGCTTTTTGCCGCCTTCATTCAACGAAACAAATCTAAGCAGTTTGCTAAAAAACGGAGCCCTTAAATATAAAGAAAATGGCGCTGCCTGTGATGGAACCCCCCCCCCCTCACACATCTCTTTTCTACGCCACTGCACATCGGTTAGCGTTACTTTGAGTTTACATAAAGCTTTTGCGAAATATGATGGCCGTGACACGAGAAAGCTGTGCACTAGCCCCTCCCCAGAAAAAATGTTGATATACTTACACTGCAGGGATGTGGAGCTGACCGCAGAATCCTCCTTTCTAGGGATATACTACTTTTTCCAAAGATGTGAAATAAATTTACCATTTTGGAGCCCCATGCCCTTGAGAATATCGCCTCTTGTGGTCACCATTTTAAAATACCTGCCTCCCGCAACGCTTGCTATAGCTCTCTATGTGGACTGCTCCAATGTGTCCATAGGAATCGGTCTTTTTGGTCGCCGATTATATTCATCGCAGCTGCAATGGAACACTTAGCGTCTTTCTCAAAACTCCCTCTTTGATGACTGCCTTCTAAGTAAACATGTTTTGTTTCCAGGACCGTCGCATGAACCCTGCAACTCCTGCTGCTGCACGGGGCCTCGGATTTTATAAGACGTCCTAAGTTGTGATATAAAAAAAAGTATAAACTCTTAACTTTGAATGCAGGGCGTATAAAACACAAAAGTGGCAAAGGATGGGGGTGGGGTGGTCTCAAAAAGTTATTTGATTCATACTTCCCAAGAATTGTGCATCCTTAAATTTGAGAGAGGTGTACTGAAATGCTTAATTCAGCCATACAATATTTTATAAAGTAAGACCCCCCCTCCCCTGCCTCCCTTGACGTCATAAGTTCCCCAATTTTATAAAGTAACCAACCAACCTTGATGTAGCAAGCACGTTCCGTCACACTCATACCCCACTAATAGACACGTGTCTTGGTTATTAATTAAGTATCTACTAATTTATTCCATATTTTTAAAGACCATTTGTTTGCTTTTTAGCATTACTTAATTAATTAATTATTTTAAAATGCATCTAACATTTGTTTGTTTACTTAATAGTTTTAACAAATCCTTTTTTTCTATGACATTTTATTATTAAAATTTTTCCATTTCTTTATTTATTACGATTCATTTACAAAACAAACGTGGTGATGCTCTAATGTCGACAGGTACTTCCAAGGGTTTAATTAAAATTATTGATTGGGAAAGGGGGGGGGGGGGCTTTCCTGCCTGACCTGCGGGTTTGTTGAATCAACTAAACGTGGTCATACACTAGCGTACACAATGTACGACTGTGTTAAAAAAAACAGCACAGTTATTTGCCTTGTAGTCGATGTGAAAGTGAGGGTTGCGAAATGACAACCAAAGGTCACGACACTTGGAACGATTGCACCAATAGAAAATTAATTAGTGGCTTTATCGATTTTCAATGGGTAAAGTGGTTCTTAAACTGGAGCTTTTGTTTATTTTAATTAATAAAGAAAACAATCTCTTAAATGATACTGCTTTAAATGTATGTTTAAAAAAAAAAGAATTAAAAATTGAGCCGAGTAGATATTATTCAAAAGTGTTCGGTACAAATAGTTTCTTCTTCTTTTTTTAAAAATCAAAATCATTAAAAAATTTGAAAGTTCTAGAATAATCTCAAAAACATAACCTCAACGACAACTCATGGCTGCGGTATGGAAAATAATGAGTTCACACTTATTAAAAATTGATTGAATATCGAAAAGTGGGGGACACACGATTCTCAACAAGGGAGGTTTCATTGTTTGACTTAACAACATCACCCGAATATAATAATTTTGTAGAATGTACGGTTTGGTCCCATCATTGTTTTCAAAGTGTGTTTGGGGTAGTTCAATCGTTTGTCTTGTTTCAACACGTATATATTATGAATGGACAACTTTGTATTGGATATGAAAAGTGTTCATTGTGGTCAAGGCGCTGCGTTGTGTTTAAAACTATAAATCTAAGATTCATCCGCTCTTGTGTCGCGTTTCTAGCAATTGCGCGTATATATTTCTATTACTTTTTTTTTATTGTCACTTTACCATTTCATTACAGAATACTTCATGATCATCTAGGTATATAAATATAGGACGTGGGTTACTGCCATCGTCCAAAAAATATAGCTTTTAGATTATTCATACTATCTATTGCATTGTGAAGATTATGTGGCAAAAAGAGTCACGATAAAAATCATTTGAATACAATAGTATTTTGAAAATATAGTTGCTTGATCATGCACTTCGTTATAAGAAAATATTATTACTTTCTGCAATAACCTTTTTCATCTAATTAGTATTTTATAAATCACTTATTGGTTACTAAATTCAAATAATTACAGAAATAATAATTATTTTCATAAAAACTATTTTAAAAAATTCAAAATGGCCGACAAAAATGCACCATTAACTGTTTTGATCGGAAGCGGAAGCCAAGACTCGCCATCCAGCAATGTGAACATCTCCGCAAAGTTAGACCCTATCGTGACACAACACGAGTTCATTGGTTGGATGGCGATGTTCTCGTCTGTGGATATCCTTCTATCCGCTCTCGGCCTCGTCACAAACATTGTAAACATGAAAACATTTCTCGCCATGGGGGCCGACGACGGCATGACAGTATCGTTCCTGTCCCTCTCCTGGGCTGAATTCCTGTGCTGCCTGGCCGCGTTCGGTCAAAAAATTTCCATGGCCCTGTGGGTCACGGAAATGGCGACGGAATACAAGGTTTGGTTCTACATCAACCCTTACGCCTTCAACTCGTTTCTGGGAAACATTAGGACCTGTCTTTTCGCGATGCCCGTCTTGATAACCACCCACCTCGCCTTGGCTAAATGCCTGTGTGTGGTCAAACCGTTGCGATTCAAAACCATGTTCACCGTGACAAGGACCCGCTGGATCATGTTTGGCATCGTTGTGTTCTCTGTCGCCACGTACGTTCCTCTGCTGGCCACCATGGGGATCGCCGAGCAGTTCGATCCAGCGGTAAACGCCACGCGTCGAATACTGTGGTTTTCGCCGTACCGGAACTTGATCAAAAACATTATCTGGAACGCTCGCGATTCGACCTTGGCCGTGGCGTCAGAAGTCATCATCGTCATCTGCGTCGTGGTGATGTCACGGGCGCTCGCTGACGCCGTGGAATTCCGCGAATCGCTGAAAAACGGATCTCAAACTGATAAGTTTGGTCACACGATGGAGAAAACACCTGCTCAGGCATCAATGAAATCACAGCCTAAACTCACCGGAAAAGAACTTCAGGTCATCAAACAAGTGACCTTGATCTCCCTGGTCTACGTCGTGGCCAACACGCCAAAGATCGCCATCTCACTGGCTGGCGCCATGGTGCCGTACCTAACCCAAGGGGGTATCTACCAGAACCTGTACGAGGTCATGATCAAGGGGAGAGAACACTCCGAACTGTACATCTCCGTGGCCAATATTTTCATTTATTATGGGTACAACTCAAGATACAGACAATGCTGTAAGCTGTATTGAAGTTACAACTCAAAATACAGACAATTGCTGTAAACTGTATTGAAGGACAACACAAAAAACAGACAATTGCTGTAAGCTGTATTGAAGGTACAAAGGTATTGATCTTAAAACCACGGTGTCCCTGCACTTCAAGGTAGTAAGAATAAAAGCTTGGTTAAACCCCCTCTTATCGGTCAGCTTTTTTAAATATATATATATATATTAAACTTAGAAACGCAAAACAGACTTTCTAAAGACAAAAAAATAATGTAAAATTACAACTTTCTAAAGATATTGCACGTAAGAAAACACTTCTTTATTTGCGTCTGACAAAAACACCATCAAATGTCCTGATGGGTTATTGGTTTTTAAAAAAAAAATTGTATTTGAATTTTACACAAACTGTGAATCGATGGCGTTCCTTGGCACATACATAACAGCAGGTCACAATAACCATGACTAAGGTTATCATTCTACAGATAAATAAGAGGTTTTTTTCATTTCTTCCAAAATATCACAAATGCGTTACTTATATTATTATTTCTGACTCACAATGTCCTAACATCGATGCAAGTAAAAATCGTTGGACTGCGGCGTTTAAAATACTACTTCTCCGGCAGGCAATCATCGCACATTTTATTGAAAAATGACAACAACGGTTAAGGCTATAAACGATGTCTTGCCCCCCCACCCCTCCCCTCCCCCCCACCCCACATTTTTTAAAAAATTAAATTTAACAAGTTCTTAACGTGATTATATTTAGTTTAACCACAGAAATTGTCAACAATTTTTTTTTAAAGCGAATCTTAAAAATTATTATTATTATTTCAACAGCTCCCCCCCACCCCTCCCCCCCCCCCCACCCCACATTTTTTAAAAAATTAAATTTAACAGGTTCTTAACGTGATTATATTTAGTTTAACCACAGAAATTGTCAACAATTTTTTTTTAAAGCGAATCTTAAAAATTATTATTATTATTTCAACAGCCGAAGGTGTAAAAAATGGGGTTATGCCAACCCTCTTTGGGCGTGTTGAGAGCGTCACTATGTAGACACATTGCGAGTGCGTCTTATTACAGAAGTGACATTACTACTTCCTTGACATTTGATGTTACTTCAAACACCTTGAATATTCCAGAACAATAATCTTAGATAAATGATGGAGAATCAGAGAGAGAGAGAGAGAATAATCCCCCCAAAACACAAACCCACACACATTAACATTTTTACTTCCCTTGATTTTCGCTTATTTTCTTTATTATTATTAGCTCAGTGAATATATTTTACGACACGATCTGCGTAACATTTTATCGACAAAACTGAGCATCAAATTGCAGTTTTGAATTATAATTATTGTAAATAAAAATATTCATTTCGAAACATTTTTAGATTGTCTGTAATGACAATTTTAATGTTATTTTACAATGCCTCTAATCAACATTGTTACGATAAAAGTAAAAAAAAAATTACTTAACAGTGCGCATCCACTCTTTCTGTCCCCGTGAGATGACTGTATCTTATCGACTAAATATCAACTGACACATGTTGAAAGAGATTAAATACCAACTGACACATATTGATAAATCACAGCACATCGCGCCAGGTCGAACCACAAGTTCATTTCTGAATCCCCTGTGAATGTCAACGGTCTCTTGGAATTCGTCTTTTCTAAGTTTCTCGAAGTTTCTCCTTTATTCAAGAACATTCACATTTTTTTTCATAAGACTTTTAAGAATCGTATCCGGAAATTTCATCAAAAGAAATTTCGTCGACGGAAAATTTATCGACGGAAATTGATTGCATATTTTTTTTCAGTTCACTCAATAAAATTTTGCTTCAAATTTCTTTTTGAACGCATTATTTTGTTTTACTATATGGTAAAGTAAATTTGACGAAAATTTTAACGTGGGATCAGAACAAAAGATTCGACCAAATTTCCGTTCGATCTAATTTCCGTCGAGAAATTTTCCTTCTACGAAATATTTTGTATTTCCGTCGATCAATTTTCCATTGACGAAATTTCTTTCGATGTAATTTCCGGTCACCTTTTAGAAGTTTAAAATGAGCGAAGGAGGTTGTACAGTGTATCCTTCTAATCATGGCCAATTGTATACACGAATGTTTTGCTTCCAGCAAGTTTCTACGTAAATTGTTGATGCAAGCCAAACTTGGTCAACATACTTTTATAATCCCGTTTAAAAAAATCGGTGGATTTCAAACTAATTAAAGCCACACATAATTGTGCAAAAAAAGGAGGGGGGGGGGTCAATTTTATTATAAGTAAAATGCGTTTTTTTTTTGTTTTTTTTTTTGAGTGGGGAGGAGCTCGTTTTTAAACTTGTTTAACCTTGCAACATACAATAAAGTATGCCCATTATCCAACCAATACTACTAATTTTTATTATAAGTAAAATGCGTTTTTTTTTTGTTTTTTTTTTTTGAGTGGGGAGGAGCTCGTTTTTAAACTTGTTTAACCTTGCAACATACAATAAAGTATGCCCATTATCCAACCCATACTACTAACTGCTGTATAATAGTGAAATAGTAAAAATTAAGGCCTTTTGACGCCCGGGAACCCAACAGTAGAAATTGAAATGGAAACATGTTTAACAAAGCCCATCTGACTTTAATGGGAAACATTTGGAGAAAAAAATTAACTTGGAATATTTTTTTAGAACAAAATTGTAAGAGTCACTTTCCTAGGGATAACTAAAATGTCCCTCCTTTTTTAGAATTTGCTCGTATCGGGAATCTTGTTTTAGTTGTAACTGGTGGCCAGTCACACAGTCACAGCCTTCGTTATTGGTTAAAACCCCCCTTTTTTTTTTCTTTTTTTTTTTTTAACTTCAAAGAAGTCATCATTGAAAAGTTAGATTGGTCCTTAAAGCATGGGGGTTTTTAACTGAAACGGATTCGGCGCCAACGTCAACGGTTACCAGAGTTATTAAATACATCTGGATATTTTATAGTCGTTTTATACAAAAAAAATTAATTTAGTTTGGTACTCTAGCGAAGTGTTTTTGAAAGTGCCTTAAATTAAGGTTGTGCTGGTGAGCTTTAAAAGTTCTTTTTTTCAAAAGCAAACCTGAGCGACGCCAGGTGTATTGGCTAGTATATCCTTTGAAATTAATACACTTAAGACATTAACATACGTACAGATATCTAAGCCACCTAACTATGAGCAAAATCTTTAGATAACTGTGTTATTTATCTTAGTTAATATTTTAAAAAGAGTAGTTAGAAGTACACTGATCCGTTATTGCACTCAAATAGATGGCCATAGCCATGACACAGTCAGTACAGTTTCACGACACTTCAATAAGTCTGAACGATTTAACGAACAGTGGTGCAGCGATTCACCTCCCTATGCAAGCTGCCGCCATTATAACAGATGTTGACTTCATCATTTGCATGGGTGTGTTTGCAGGCCTTGACATGGTATTGTCCACCTGGGGGCTTCTCGCCAACACAATCAACGTGAAAACGATCGCGGCCATGGGCCCGGACGATGGTGTCACCGTCTCGTTCCTGTACCTCTCCTTGTCGGAGGGGCTCTGCTGCCTCCTGGCCTTCGGTCAAAAATTAGCCATGGCGTTTTGGGTGATGGAAATGGCGACCGGCTACGCGGCATGGTTCCACGTCAACCCTTACGTCTTCAACGTGTTACTGGGCAACATCCGCACCAGTTTTTTTATGATACCTGTTCTGGTTACAACGTTTCTCGCAGTGGCCAAGTGCTTGTGTGTGGTCAAACCACTAGGATTCCGAGGCATGTTTCCAGCCAGGACCACGCACTGGGTGATGATTTCAATCTGCGTTTTCTCCCTCGTGTCCTACCTCCCCGTCATAACCACCATATTTGTTGTGGATCAGTTCGATGAAGCAGTCAATGCGACGCGTCTCACCGTGCGGTTTTCTCCGGAGCGCCCGCTCATACAAAACATCATCAACACGTCAAGAGAATCGTTCACTGCCCTGGCGTCACAGATTGTCATCGTTGTTTGCATTGTCATCATGACACGAGCCCTGTTGAGGGCTGTAAAACTCCGAGATGAATTACGATCCGGAAAACTCTCTGAGATGGTTTTGTGCAATAGCGACGACCTGACGACGCGTAAGACGAATCGACTCAGCGGTAAGGAACTGCGAGTTATAATTCAGGTGACGCTAATCTCAATCGTCTACATTGTGTCCAACACTCCAAAGATTTTGGTCTTCCTGGCCATAGCCTCTGTGCCCGAGTTGTCCCAAGGAGGTCTCTACCAAAACCTCTACGATGTTATCTTAAAGTCCAAGGCCCACTCGGAACTGTACCTCTCAGCGTTTAACATTTTTATCTACTACAAGTACAACTCCAAGTATAGACACCATTGCAAGCTATGATTTCGCTGTTATACAGTAGCTAGGTGTCTAAGCTAGCACCCGTTTTTTTTTAAATAAACAAGTAGAAATGGATGAAATGATATAAAAATATTTATAATAATATAAAACAATATAAAATACGATAAAATAATATAAAATAATATAAAAAAATTAAAAAAAAACAATATATGAAAAATATGTTTAAAAAGAAATAAAAATGTAAAAATAATTTAACAATAAAACATAAATCAATACATATAACAATGAGCTATGGTGACATAACACCAAAGAACCGATACGATTTAAGTACGTTCAGATTCCTAAACACAATCATACATATTTTCTATTATTTTACGGAAATGGAATACATTTAAATGCGCTACAAATATTTTAAATTCGCTTTTATTTTAGTAAAAGTTTAAGTATTATTATTATTATAAATTGCAAATAAACTTAAAGTAACAACTACGGATCTATTTAAAGCAGTTTATCCGAAATTAAAAGTTATGAAAAAAAAATCATTATAAAATTATGATCCAAGACTTACATCGTAATCACATTTATTGGGAAAACCCAAACATCAGTTGTTTTAGTGCGTTTTTAGTGCGTTGTTAATATTGCGAAGTAAAATTAAAATTAATTTCTTCTTCATAAACACGCAAATGACGTCATAGCGCGAATCGTCAATGTTAGCCAAAACTCTTAAGTTTCTTTGATTTAAAAACCGTGCTTTAAAAAAAAATGATCAAGTATTTCCCCCTTCTTAAACGTAAAATTAAAAATTTTAATTAATTGCTTTTAAAATTATTAAATACGAATTTAGCTTTGTATTGTTAACATTTAATAAGTTTTGCTTTTTTAATTTCAAAAATACACTTTTATTAAATTCATAACGTAATAAAAACTTCACCTTTAAATATACTTCAATTTAGAAAATGCCGTTTAATGCAATCAGTGCAGCGCAACTTTATAGCCTAATAGCATTCACTAATCCACTTATAACTCATACAAATAAGAACGAACCATATGAAGTGCAAAATATCTAGTTTGGGTATGGAAGGGACTACAATCTGGTGGGAGATTTTCCAATTTTTTTTTTTAGTCCGGGGTGGGGGGGGGTGATGGGGGACGGGTTGGTCACGTTGCCCCAGGCAGCACAAAATACGTTTAAAAAAATAATTTTAGGTGGAAGACAACATATTTAACTCCTATGGTATTAAATTTTTTTAAAAAGTGATGTTTAATTCTGTTTTTACAAATATCGGTATGTTCATTTTTTTCCAAGGCAGCACAAGATACGTCTCAAAATAAAGGAATGAATTTGATAAATAATTAACTTTCTTGATTACATACATATCGGAGGTAGAAAATAGGATTTTGAACGTGGATGACAATATATTTAAATGCCATGGTATTACATTATTTTATAAAGAAACGTTACTTTCCGTTTATAGAAATATGTGTATGTTCATTTTGCCCAGGGGAGCAAAAGATAGTCTTAAAATAAAGAAATGAATTTGATGAATATTTAATTTTCTTGGGTTAATACATGTCGGGGGTAGGAAATAAGATGTATACATTTTTACGTGAATGACAATATAATTAACTCCTATGGTATAACATTTGCGAAAAAAGAGAATCTTCCTTAAATAAAATAATTTTTTTAAACGATTTTATGATAATGTATAATTTAAAAAAAAACAAGGCCAAAGTGTGTTTACATTTTTGATGACAATATCATTATATTAAATTCCTTTAAAAAATATACATATATTCATATTATTATGTTTTTTTTTCTCCAATTTTTAGAGTAAAAAATGAAATCAAGGGTACGAAAAGGGGTAAATCTTAATTATGTCTCTAGCGTAGAAAACTTCCCTCACTTAGCTTCTTTAGTGACAAAAATGATATAATTAGTGATAATTTAGATTGGGTAATTTAAGTCATGTTCAGATGGAAACAAATAATTTAGGGGCGTGAAAGGGAGAAGGGTAGGAGTATAATATGTAGCAGATAAATATTTCTCAAAACTTAATGATGTTTGAAACGTAAATATCATTACACAGATACTTCTTTTTAAAGTTAGGAAATGTGATGAGTTTTTGCAATAGCAGCGTAATTATTTTAAATTGTTTGATATTGTTGTATATTGTTATAAAACGACTGCAAATAATGTAAAAATAAAAAAATAATATAAAAAAATATAAAACAATGCCAAATAAAATAAAAAAATATAAAACAATATAAAATAATTTAAAATAAAAAAAGCAAACAATATACAATATTATAAAAATATATTAGATATGACTAAAATTGTCGTTCTTAGTTTAAACTTAATTAAAAGTCTGGAATTGGTCAAAATTGAGATGGAACATTTGGTCACACATACATTAACCAATGGACAGAGCAACCAGAGAAACAGTCATAAGACATTAATATTAATGTATTACATGGGTGCCACATAGTCATATGACTTCGACAAATATACAATTATGGGAGACATTTGCTTCATACTTTTAGGATATGTTTTGAAAAATGTGGTTATCAAAGAGGATTTTTTTTAAATATTGGTTTTATATTTTGCCTTTTATCAAAGTCTACAAAGTTTCATCTCTTTTGGTGATCAGAATTTTTTACTAATTTTTTTTCCCTGATTTGCTCGCAATACGCATTCGAGCCCTTTAGCAACCTGAGCGTAGCTCGTCACGTCGGTCACAAATCGATTTTGACTCCGAAAAACTTGGTTCTTGACAGTCTCTTGATAAGAAATTTGGCTCTCAAAGAATATTTAATCGTCCTGCTTCTGATTTTTTTGCTCTTTTGACTAATATTCCCATTGTGAACTCGAACAGACACAAGATTCTTTACAGACACACATGATTCTTTACGGAAACGAACGATTGTTTATGGATACCCAGGATTGTTAACAGATTCGTGTATGTTCGAGCCATCACTTTGAGAGTCTGGATTGAACAATTTTTTTTGGTCAAGTAAATTAGACAAGGGTTTTGCGCAAACGTTTATATTAACATTTGTGTTACTGTAAGCGCAGCGTTTCTTCCGATACTGCAAGTAGACTGTCATCTGGTGGTCTGGAGTTCAATCCCCACCAATGACAACATCCAAAGCACACGCCGGGTGGATGGGACCCGCTAGCCTTGGACGGCAACCCAATCCAAGAGAAGGCAAACTCTGAATTTAAACCAGGAGTCAGAATGATCAAAAAATTGATCGTGGACCCCTCAAATATAAGAAGAAGAAGAAGACAGAGGGGATCTGTGCTGGGATCCACGATTCAACCGAAAACTCACGAAGTCGTTAACTTTATGTAGCCATTTAAGGTTATGAAAGTCAGGCAATCACATACACAAACACTTAACTTTATATGTAAAAAATCCATATATTTCTATTAAGTTGTGTTTTTAGTTCGAACCAATGAAATACTTAACGTTTTATTTTTATTTATTTTTAGAAAAAAATTATATGGGAGGGTGTATTATTGCAACAAATAAAAGAAAAATTCAAACGAATTTTGCCTTGTATTATTATTTTAAAACTAGTTTCTTGTAAATTAGTTTAAACTTAATTTAATTAACTGGGAAGGAATGATTTGATATTATTTAAAAATACATTTGATTTAGTTCCAATACTTGTATTATTTTAAAAAATTAAGGTATTTTCTTAATCCTTTTACATTAACTTCGCTTTACTTCCCGTCAGCCAGTCTAGCTGAAACTTGGCAAATAGGCTCGTTGCCAAATGACAACACATCTTTTCAAATTTTCAGCCCCAAACCCCCCAAAAATTATGTTTTCCTGTTTTCCAGGAGCCGGGGTGGGGGGGGGGGGGGGGGGGTTAATAAAACATTACGCGACAACGGGGGTAGATGAGATTTTTTTATTTAAAAATTTGCGTTTGTTGTGGAAAATTTTCTTTGGTTTTTCAAAAATTATGTTTTCCTGTTTTCCAGGAGCCGGGGTGGGGGGGGGGGGGGGGGGGTTAATAAAACATTACGCGACAACTGCGGTAGATGAGATTCTTTTATTTAAAAATTTGCGTTTGTTGTGGAATATTTTCTTTGGTTTTTCTAAAATTGTTGCTAAAATAAATATACGATGTAAAAGCGGGTGGGTCATTAGAGTATTAATATATTTCAGGGGCGTAAAAATTGCTGTTGCGAGCCACGGAGAGGAGTGGAGCCCTAATTGTGATCCTTATAAAGTGCTTTACTTCAAAGCAGGTTTTCTGAAATTTTACAGCCCACAACCCTTTCCGAATCGCTTAATATTACAATTTATATTGGATTTATACGAAACACGTTGGTCTTTAGGGTTTGTTTAATTTTTTAAAAATAATTTTTATAATAAACTTAAGCAAATCGTAAACCATTCGTATTATATTTAAAAAAATAAACAACAACAAAAAAAAGCAACAACAAAAAACAAACAAACAAAACAATCGATCAATCATCGATTAATCATCGTTTAATTATTAATGATCGATATATCAATCCACAATTTACTGCGGAATCTCGCAGAGAAACCCTCTCTCGTTCCCCGTGTAGGAGTTGAAGTCACACACACCCTCGACGTACGACCAGTCGCCGTCCCGCCAGAGCCAGATGCAGACCCCAGGCTCGGCGCTGGCCGGCTGCTCTCTTGTCGCCCAGTGAAAGAAACTGATCGGCTTCTCGCTCTCGAAGTAGGACCAAGAACTTCTCTCTGCCGACTTCGTGCCCCCGGTCAGGAGGAACTTATGCTCCTTGACAAGAGGCTCGATGAAACCTTTCAAGAAGTCAAATTCTTTCTTCGTTTCGATTTCGACCAGATAGCCCCCTCTAAGGTTGCAGAACATGTTGCAGACGCCCCTGTTTTGATTCGAGGCCGCCCTGGAGAGGAGATACCTCCTACCTTCGAACACCGCCGACTCTTTTAAAACTAACTTGTCCGATATCGTCGACTTTAAAAAATCCGATGTGCTGTAGTCTTGAAACATAACCTGGAAGAACATCTTGAGCTTGTCGTCCAGGCTCGCGAAGTTCTTGTGGGTGCTTGTAAGGTTAAGCTCTATTTCACTTCTTTTGAGGCGGCCGACTTGAGGCTTGCACTGATGAACGTGTGCTGCCAATGAAGAAACACAGGATTCATTTTATAGATACGAACAGAGGTTGATTTTTCGTTCAAAAAGTATCACGTATACTTTAAAGATACTTACCTCACAAAAAGAATAATCATTTGCTTATTTAAATTAATAGTGATAGACGTCGTGTTATAAGACAAAGTATCAATGTATCTTATGTATGAATGTATGTATGTATGTATGTATGTATGTATGTATGTATGTATGTATGTATGTATGTATGTATGTATGTATGTATGTATGTATGTATGTATGTATGTATGAATGTATGTACGTGTGTATGTATTTATGTATGTATATCTGTATGTATGTATGTATGTATGTATGTATGTATGTATGTATGCATGTATGTATGTATGTATGTATGTATGTATGTATGTATGTATGTATGTATGTATATATGTATTTATGTATGTATAAATGTATGTGTGTGTATGTTTGTATGTATATATGTATGTATGTATGTATGTATGTATGTATGTATGTATGTATGTATGTATGTATGTATGTATGTATGTATGTATGTAGGTAGGTAGGTATGTATGTATGTATGTAGGTAGGTAGGTATATATGTATGTAAGTATGCAGGTATTAATAAATGTACGTATGTTTGTATGTTTATATGTTGCTTTCTATGTGTTTTTATGTTTTCATGTGTTTGTTTGTGTGTTAGTATGTATTTATGTGTGCATTTTTGTATTCATGAATGTTAATACGCGTGAGTGTACGTGCTTTTTTTGTGAGTGCACGTGCTGTGTTTGTGAGTGTAACTGCTGTGTTTGTGAGTGCACGTGCTGTGTTTGTGAGTGTAACTGCTGTGTTTGTGAGTGCACGTGCTGTGTTTGTGAGTGTAACTGCTGTGTTTGTGAGTGCACGTGCTGTGTTTGTGAGTGCACGTGCTGTGTTTGTGAGTGTAACTGCTGTGTTTGTGAGTGCACGTGCTGTGTTTGTGAGTGTAACTGCTGTGTTTGTGAGTGTAACTGTTGCGTTTGTGAGTGAAAATGCTGTGTTTGTGAGTGTAACTGCTGTGTTTGTGAGTGTACGTGTTGTGTTTGTGAGTGCACGTGCTGTTTTGTGAGTGTGCGTGTTGTGTTTGTGCGCGTATGTGTAGTGTTTGTGAGTGTGTGTGCTGTGTTTGTGAGTGTACTAGCTGTGTGTTTGAGTGGTCGCGCTGTGTTTGTGAGTGTTGTGTATTTATATATTTCCGATATTATAAATGGATTTATGGATGGATAAATGGATTGATGATATCTTTGTGTATTTAAAATGCTTTAGGCTGCGCTGACTTAACAGTAACGTACATAAATTATATATATATATTTTTTTTTTATACGGGGTAATGTTTTGAGGACGGTAATTTAGAACCTAAAAAAGGGGGTGGTGGGGTAGGCGAAAGGGGCAGAACGTCATAGGCCTCGTGGCCCACTTTGTGAGCGGATAAACCGTTAGCGGGCCGAATGTCATTACACCCTACACTAAACTAAAACACCCACTAACTGCAATGTAGAGTTGGATGTTTTTTCCAAGGCCACCCAATGAAGGGCTAGACAACAATATATAACAAATTTAAGTTAAATTCATTTGATATCCTTTAAGCTTTTACATATCTTATATTTTTAAAATCTATTTTTATTTTGGAGGTTGGGGGGTGGGGGGGCGTCAATTTAATGAAGAACTTGAAACATTTGATTTACGCAATTCGTGGGCCGCGATATTTTGAAGTGGCGGGTGGCATGCGGCCCGCGTGGCCCGCTTTAAGCGCACCTCATTTAGAAGAGGGTTTCAAAAGCAGGTATTGGCCGTGCTGTTAGGAGGGAGGGGTTGGGAATTCTTACAATTCATGAAGCAAGCGACAAACAAATCTTTTTGAATGCCCCAAATAATTTTTTTTTTTTTAGTAATATCGTTTATTCATTCTTGTTCTAACATGAAAATAAAACTTACCTTTGAAACTGATGGTCATTAGTTCCACACTCCAAAATTGGCCGTGCTGTTAGGAGGGAGGGGTTGGGAATTCTTACAATTCATGAAGCAAGCGACAAACAAATCTTTTTGAATGCCCCAAATAATTTTTTTTTTTTTTAGTAATATCGTTTATTCATTCTTGTTCTAACATGAAAATAAAACTTACCTTTGAAACTGATGGTCATTAGTGCCACACTCCAAAATGTATACATTTGTTCATCCATATCAGCATCGAGACACCTGGTTTTTGTTGACGATGAAAAAAAAAAAAGAAAGACACCAAACTTAAGACTCCGTGCGACCAGCGTTGAGACACACGATTGTGTTCCCAGGTTTGATGTGGGTCATGTCGAGGCAGTATCAAAGCCATTATACGATTTCAATAGTTGTTTTTTTTTTACTACTTATTTAAAGGCATTGACTCGTAGTTCAGGCAAGGAATAAGTTCTCAATTCTTTGTCATTTGGCCGAAGTCAATAGGACGATTTTAAACAGCTTAAAAACCTTTTACTGTTTGGCATCATTTAAAAGTAAAGATTTAAAAATGTGAATAATTTACATTGTGCTTTGTGGTGATACACAGGTTAGTAAATGTGTCTGCAGGAACCAATTTACTACACCTGCAGTCTCTTGAACTTCTTTCTGTATTTAAAAAACAAAATGATTTTTTATCATCGAGTGTTTAGAAAAATCGTTTAAAATGCTCTAATAAAGATATGTTATGGTTCTAAATGCTTTTGATGGAACTTCAGGAATTATCAAATATTATGGTCACCATAACTAAAGAACACTAATTAATATGTTTTAAAATGATTGGAAAAAAAATTGAGTTGAATTAAAATATATGTAGACATAAGTAAACAGTCATATCCTTGTACTTGGACGTACTATTATTAATTTCCTTCAACTGTGTCAAGAACTGAACGCCAATGAATATCAAGCAACCTTATACATTCAAAGTCATCCCAGGAGATTGTCATTCCAGGATCGGCCTAGTGAGAAATTGGAGGAAGTGTCAATAGCTACTCCATCAATGAAGACGGAAGGATACTATATATATATATACATTTTTGCAAGGCGACCAACTTTTTTCGTGAGTGGACCAAGCTCAGTGCAAACATATATTTTTTTTTAAAATGACTACTTTTTTAAACACTGCACGTCACATTTATTTATAGTTTAAGAACTGCAATGAGAAAAAAAATACTACGCACATTGAAAAGACATACAAAAATGTATTTTACCTATTACTCTTGGACTTTGCATTTCTTAAAATTGAGTTATTTGAAGACAATATTTTTTGTATGTGCTCATTTCTTATCGCCGGCATTTTCAAAACACCGATCTGTTACTCAGAGATTACACTGCATTTCTTTTGACGGTAAATGATTGTGAAAAAGCCACCATTGGTATGCAAGGTCTTATGGGACAGCAAGTTTTGTGCTCTACAGTCATTCTATTGCTTTGGGGGAAAAAAATTTGATTTAAGCTGAAATTGAGCCGCATTGAAAGCGTATGAACCATGGGAGTTTTCAAGTCAATAAAGAAATGATAATGATTTCTTTGTGGTGCACAGACACTGGTCTTACATGTGAGCTATGGCAGACCGATGGGCAAACAGGAAGATCGATTTGCTAACGGCTAGACACTATGATGCTACTGTACAGATTTATTAGGTGAAATATTCTAAAATGAAATAAATTCATAGATTTATTAGTATCTTCAAGAGAATAAATAACACATTTATATTATTTTAGTTTCTAAACATAACGTTGCAAATTAATGGAATTATCAGTAGCCAGAAGCCAAAGTAAATTTTAAAAAAATAATTAATGTCTAAAATATTTGTAGAGTACTCCGAAAATAAAATTAATACATTTAGAAAACATATTCTAATTTTGATGTGTTGTAGCCGTTCCAGATGAGAAAAGCTCCCGCCTTCAGCACCCTTTTAACAACAATTTTAAAAAAAAATTAATAGTTTGCTAAAATTAATAAAAAAACTACAAAGGAAATTTTAACTGTTTAATGTTCTAATAACTTTATTCCTTATAATTACATAGTTCAAATTTAAACTTGTATAAGGTTTACATTTAAAAAAAAAAAAAATTTACCTTTAAATAATACTTTGTTATTATATTCTTTTTTTTAAATTTTTAAAACTAAAATATTTTTTATTTTCTACTTTTAGAAAAGAAGGATCTATTTAAATTGTGATTTTGCTTTATTTGAAGTAATACAGCTTGTATTATTAAAACAAACAAAGATGTTTCCTCTACTCTGGTATCTCACAAAGATAACCAACATTATAGCTAACAATCCCAGTAAAGCATGCAGCATCAGCCATATACCACTGCCTGTCCCTCCAGAAGTAAATACAATTTTCTCCCCGACCCCCATTGGGCTCCCCGTACACCCAGCCGATGTATTTCACGGGCGTTCGGCTGTACGTGTTGACCCATTTGTTTTCGAGAGCGACGTCGTTCCCGCCAGTAAGAATAATTGTGTATTTTGTTAAGTTATACAACAAATGATCTACAATGAAATTATGTTCCTCAGCGCTGTCTATCTCCACAAGATAGCCTCAGATATACTGGCAAAAATAGACAAGACACTATAAGGACATTCATTATGATCAGAATTTTTTTTTTTATTGAATCTGTTATTTTAGGTTTTGTTTCACTTTTATTTTCCTGATGAACTGGATAGACCAAACCATTGATGTGCACGATGCTGATATTGGCAATGCA